CCCACTTTTTCGCCCGTTTCGCCGAACGCCACGTTCCGACCGTTTCCCCGGGGAAAACGGGTTTCTCTTCTCGAACCGTTTGCCCGTGACCGCCGCGCCGAAATGCCGCTGTTCGGCAAGAAGGACATGTCGAAAAAGGCCAAGAAGGACGCGGAAAAGTCGCAGTCCATCGAAGACAAGTACGACGTGAAAGACCTGCTCGGCACGTGAGTACCCCGTTGAATAACGCACGGAATGTGATATATTAACACGCGCGTACGCCGGCGATATTGCAGTGCGCCCTACGCGCACCCGACCCGGGCAACCGCGACGCGATAGAAAAACGCACTTCGGCAATAATGCATTAGGATATTGTTAATTGTACAATCGCGCGTCGCGACGGCGCTGAACTGCGCCGTCGGCCGCGACACGGCACGCTCGACAAATGTGACGGTTTTCGCCGGGGTCGTTTTTCCCCGGCCGGGGAGGTCCGCGCGGCTCCGCGTAATACGGCGGTCGAGAACCGGGCAACATGTTCCGCCGCGGGTCCGCGCGCGCGATTTTTCAACCGCCGGAATCCGTTGCGTGGCGGCTGTTGCACGCAATGTTATCCGTTGGCGCGACAACAACACCGGGCCACGCGTAACGTTACGGCCGCGGGCCGCGCCGGCGGTGTCGCGAATGCGTGCGAAACGGCCGTCGGTGTTACCGTCGAAACACAGTGACCGTTTCTGGCCGCCCGTCGTCATCGCAATCGGTTACCGTTTTTGTGAAATCCGATTCGGAGTCCCGGATTCCTCCGGTCGCGGCGGTCTTCTCGCCGGCTCCGCGGAAGACGGCCGGCGGCTGCACGACGGTGATACAAGTGCCGTTCGAGGAGTCCGCGTCTGGAAATAATCGACGAAAAATTTTTTTTTTTCTTTTTGATATTTCGTTCACGGTATTCCGCCGGCGTGATGGTCACGCGTTCCAGACCGACGATCCGGCCAAGACTCTGTAGGAATTGCGTGCAATTGATGAATTTCAATTTATAAAACGCGTATATTACGAACCTGACCTAGGTCTTTTTGTCAGAATTTCAATTGTTATTATCGTATTTTAGTATAAGGGGCAAAATATGTGCTCGATTCGCGATTTTTTTTTTTTTTTCTCTTACAATTTCCAGCGAAATACATTTGAACGTCTGTTTTCCAACATACACTGGTAGTAATAATATATATATAATCCGTTTTCAAAATTTGATATCCGCCGAACGCAATTTAATGTCGAGTTTTCTCGGTTGGCTTAAGGTCTAAATTTACTGAGTATACACGGTAAACGATCCCCGTAGTATAACCGGTTACGGGACCCGAGCTGGGACGGTCGGATTACGTCGTTTCTCACTTAAACCCCGACTTAAATTAAAATGGTTGAATTACATACACGGGTCGAAAAAAAAAAAAAAAAGGTAATTGTCAAACTGTACTAGGGTCAAAAACATGCAGTATAATGGTCGAATACGAGTAAATGAAAATGATGATTTTCTAGGATTATTCGATAAGTTCAAAACTTTTAACTAATTTTATAATATATACGTTTAAAAAAATGACGCGATTTTTTAGGCTTTCTATTGAAATGTGAACTTTAAACACACACGCATATATATATTGTAATATAAAAACTATATTACATTGCATAAAACTCGTGTACAATTTTCAAGCGTTTCCGTTCGGCTAAAACAGTTTTAACCACATTGAATCAAATAAAAATGTATAAAAAACAACTCGAAAGTGGTAAATAACGTAAAAATTTTTCCGGTTTTTTTTTTTTTTTATGTTTTTTCCCAGTTATTCCAAATCCGTTTTAAAAAAACCTTTCGAGGAGTATTAATAAAAATCGACCTCTCGAAATGCACCGGCCGGATAAAATTGTCTTTATTTTCCTGATTATTTTGAAAAATGCTTGAAAATCAAAAAATGGCCTTCTAAATTCACCACTTTGATCCGATAATTGCTACAAGAAAATGTTTGCTATTTGTCGGAGCAACATTTTCGGTAGAAAAGTTGTTAATAGATCGGAAAAAATAAATAAACAGCACACATCATAGTAAAACCTATAGATACCTTACTCCGCTCGGTATTTAAAAGTAATTTTCAACCACGCAAAAACGAATTAATTTTGAGCAGGGAAGGAGTTTCCTTTGAATACGTGAATACGTGTACTTACTACTACTGTTCGTCTAAAAAAAAAAAAAAAAAACGGTGAAGTTCGACATTACGCGATTTATAATACCTATACGGACCAAATTGTCCGTATAGGGAAATTTCGGGGACCGGTAATTTTTTTTTTTTCAAACAGTTATCGTGGGAGGGAAGGAGAGGGAGTTGAGAAGCTAGTGAATTCGGACGCGCTCGGAATATTTTCTTCTTATTATTATTATTATTATTTATTATTTTTTTTTTTTTGATACGGTACGATATTTGTGATCGGAGACAAATGTGCGACGTGTTACCCCCGCCTCTCAAAGACGTCATTTATGTATGGGTATTATATATTATTATTCCTTTGCGGTTCTCGCCGACAACGACGCGAACACGTCTCTGCCGACACCGCCGCCGCCACCGACATGACGTCTACAACATCGTGTACGCGGATCGCGATATTTATTATTTTCAAACGCGAACGTATAAAATATCCGTCTGACGTCGGTCGTATACCTGTAGGTAGTAAAATTATAGCATGTCTATCCGAGACGGGAAAAAAAACAGACGCAACGGCGTTATTTATTTAAGAAAAAACAAAAAAAAAAAATTAAACGAACCGATTGAGACGTGTTTTTTTCGACGCGCGCACAGTTCAAACGGTGCGGCCGGCGACACCCGCTCGGTAGATTTTCCGAAAACCAAAAGCGGCCTTTTTCTGTTTTTCGCAGACAGGTCGGTTTGAACACACAAGTATCTGTACGCGTATCGAACCCCTTTCTCCCATCCCTATCCCGTCGTAATGGCGATAACCGATCCGGGGCGGCGGGGAGACGAACGTCGTTTTTAGCGGGTGACATTTTAGCCGTTTTAGCCGACGGGTCGTGAGATACTAGCGGCGATCGCGGAAAACAATTCGAAAAATTCATAGAAAAAAAAAAAATTAGGTTACGCGTATTATTGTAAAAAAGATAGACACCGCTATTGATTGGCGTGCACTGTTTTAGGAAAAAAGTACGCGTTATATAATATTGAATAATCCGACGAAAAAACATTCGGAACCACGTGTGTGTATTAGGAGTCGTGTTTTTCAAATCGTCGCCAATAAGGTTACCCGGGAATCAACAAACGTCGGCGATCCGTCCGGTTTATTAGAAAACCGAAAGAAAAATCTACCCAGTCGGAGCAACAATCGCGCGACGCAGTAAACCAACCTAACCGTTCTAGTATTGTAACGGAGTCATTTCAGTGCCACTTTTACCGTCGGGCGAATGAAATGTGTTTTCTACCGCAATACACGTTTAGCCTTTATGTGTAACAAACTCGATTCATATTAACATCGTATTATTGTTGTTCGTTTCGACGGAATATCGAGGCGCGCGCACGGTGGGGCCGACAGCAATTAACCGGGCGGTGAAAAATACAATTATTTGTTAACGGAGTCGAAATAAAATTATATTCGTCGTTACCCGCGGCAAACGTTTTATTCGACGTGTCACTTTCGCTGTCACCCGAAGACGCGATTGACATTCTTCGCGGACGCCGTCGTTCGTTTTCCTCCGCGTTGTGCCGGGGGGCTGTTTTCCCGGAGAATTTACGTACGGGCCAAAAATTACACGGGCAAATTAAAACAAATCGTACTCGTGCGCGTCGAATCGTCTTTCCCGACCGTTCGAACGTCCAAATCGTGTTTACCGTGAAGAAATCCGTACACTCGGTAATTTCCCCTGCTCGGGCCGGCCAAAAAACGTAAAAGAAGAATTTAAACATTTACGAATACAACGGTTTCCGTTGAATATCTAAAAGAAAAAATTTAAAAAAATTTGACTCCTAACAGAGATGCAAACGGGCGCGATTAATAACTACGCGAAAGCTTTAACAAATTGCCATACCAATGGCCCGTATAGTTCGGATACGAACCGTCGAAATTGATTGACTCGCATGTATGATTTGAACGAAAACGAAAATTCGCTACTTGTATAAAAAGCGCTTATTTCTAAATGTTAAATTCATACTGATACATCCGTGATATGGCCGAGTAAAACGACCGTGACGAGAAGAACTGTTTACGAACGACGAAAATGGCATTTCGACGTACGAATAAACGTACAGGCAACAGTAAATATTATTGGACTTGCGGTTTTTCCGAACAAAGGTTCAATTATAGTTGTTCGCGTAATAACTCTGCCGACATTATCGGACTAATTATGATAAATTATTTGTACACAAACAAATTTTGAGAAAGATAAAATCGATTTTAAAAATAGTTTTGATCGTCTAATTAATATTATTATCGGTCATTGCAGGCCGATGCGTTTCCAGTTGATTGGTCTTGTAGCGTGACAACATTTCGCAACCGACGCGTTTCCGTCGCTTGTAACTAATTAATTTCGTTAAGTAAATTCTAAAAAAAAAAAAAAATCAAAAAGTAACTTGTTTATATACGGTTTAAAAATGTCGTCGAGAGAAATTTGTATAAATACGAAAAAGAGGTACGTGGATTAAAAAAGAAAAAAAAGCAAAAATATTATAATTATATAATTCTGTTTGTTCGGAGCAGCGTTTAAGAAAAACAAAAACGTCGATCCGCGTGCGAAAAAAAAATCGATTGCCGGTTTTTTTTCACTTCTCGATATTTCGTTGAAAAAACAAATAATGTATGCTCTCGACAAGTGCACGGTATGTTAACGAGACCGTCGTGTAATACCCGGACCGTATGAAAAAAAAAAAAAATCATCCAACCCGTGAACATAATATATGTACAAACAAAACAAAACACATCCGACGGGGTGTAAAATATGTAAAAAAAAAAAAAAAAAAATGAAACGTATACTTTTTCTTTGTCGTATACAAAATCGCGGAAAGTCCGGTAAGTGTTTAGACTACGCTGTGTACCTGTGCGACACGCATTTGTTGTCACTGCCTCACAAACACGCACGGCATAATAGCAAATTTGCATTCAAACGTAATGATGAGAACAGCGAGACTTTAAGCATTTTGATATTGTGATACTTCACATACTCGTAATCCCCCTAAAAATTTTAGTATTGAAAGTACGTTTAGTGTACGGGTATAGTTAAATGAATTATCTAAATAGGTACTCGATAATTGATTTTCAGTATCTCAAGATATTATGATACGATTAATACCGGATAGTAGATATTATACTCGATACAATAAAATTATAATACGAATTAAATTTTCCCCGCAGTCAGTATCTGAATCGATACAAACATATTTTCGCGATTCACAACGCCTCCTCTCGTTTTCGTACAATCACGTTAAACGTTGTTTTAAATGTTTTTCTAAAAGCCAGCGAGGAAATCGGCACTGCTGGTTGGCCCTTATTCGGGCACTAATGTGCTCGAGAACCTTTAGACACTTTAGATACGCCGATTTCAGTATAGCGATACGGTAGATTTTTCGATACTTCCCATGAATGTATCTGTCGCACAAGATACAAGGTACGATTTTTTTTATCTAAGCCCAATCCACCGATAAAGTAGTTATACTCAGATATTTGAAAATCATATACCGTCGTAACGTGTCGTAACGTTCGGAGCGTCAATTATTATTGGTCGATGAAATTGTCAATCAGTTATTTTTGTTTTTCCGGGGGAAACGGAAATCGTAAAAATAAAACTATCACATTTTGTTATTCGACTCGCGATTTCACGCGTAAAAATAGCCGCCGCCCTGGCATAGGTCGATGTCGGAAATCAACCTGACCTTTACCGCGAGGGGAGGAGTAGGTCTGAAGACGTTTGCGTCATTTTAGCGTTACAATATTATATATATATATATATATGTTTAGTAGACCGGGACAAAGTTTCCTAATTGCCGACTAAGACGGCGAGACGTTAAGAAAACAAAAAAAAAAAACCATCGTTTTCTCGCCATATGCTCGAGCGATTTATTTGCACTTGTTAATAACATAATTTGTTCACAAAGACCTGCAATCAACATCGAGGGACGATCGCCGTCCTCCCCACGCTGAAAAATGACGCCTTACGATATCGACCGCGAACGCGGAGTTGCAACTTCGTATCACGGGTAGGCGACTGTGGAAATTTTCAAAAGTATAGCCGACACAGAGTAGTTTAATTAATATAGTATATTGGGAAAGAAACGATAAATCACTGCAATCGAAAACGATTCTTATTCGAGTAGCGTTATTATTATTATTATTATTATTTTTTAAATTTATAACAAACCTATCAGTTGATAAATTTCGTTTCTGATTATTATACAGTGCCGACCGTCAAAAATTATGCATATTTTAAGTCTGTTGTCTACTGTAACTATTATGCATATAATTATCTTTGGCGTTTTTCAAGTTTCAGCGTTAGTAGGAAAAAAATAGTTTTATCAAATCATTTCTGTTTTGGCTGTCACACGAATTTGACATTTTTTTAAGCAGATTAACGGTAAATATAGGTGTGTATGCTATCATAGTGTTAACGGATATATCCAATGAAGCAATTATTGCTTCTTATCCACATTAGCGTTGGGAGACATAAGTGCCAAAACGTGATAAGAAAAAAATAAATCGTATCGTACAAAAGCGCCAACAACCTATAGGTATCAGTGTGCTTCATTCCAGAATTCCAATCATTCTAGATATTCATTTTAAAACTATATCGTTCCGAAATTCCGAAATCTTAACCAGCAAATGCGTTATCATTTTAGAGACATTACGCGTTGGTTTTAGTACACTTGATTCAGAAATTTGAGCAGAAATTCCGGTTAAGGATATTATACGGGACTACAAATGCAGCTGAATCATAATGTCATCGCTGTTCAAACGACCAATTTTGTGTGGTCCGTCATTGTTCAATTCGTGTAATAATTGATGTATTACTAAAATTTCAAAGAGAAACATATTTATATAATATGAACTCTCCTCCCTCACACTTAAATTTATGGATATCTCATGAGGACATCGTTTTACAACGAAAGGAACGTCAGCGTGACGAAACAAGCGGGCTTATAAAATCAACCAGTTTATTAAAATTATATTTGTTTTCATGTATTTGTATTTTTATTATTATTTTACTATCACGATTCAAATTTTGATTAATATTGATAATTATTGACAATTAATATATTTTGAAATATACATCGATACAAATAGTAATCTTTTCTATACTCTTGGCCGTTACTTAGAATCAAAATAGGTAAAAAAAAAAAAAAAAAAAACAATTTCAAATTTCATTTCATTCAACTCTTGAGTAAATGTTTTTAAAATTACACTCGCGGATTTCTATTGCCCCGTGCGTGGATTTTTCTTTCCGATTTTACTGAAACTGATTCGTAGTGGAGAAAAAAAAACCACTTCACACCGGCTACTGACGCACAACACAATACACTAAAGTCGGGGGGGGAGGGGGAAACAGTTTGACACCATTATAACGACGGGAGCTCCGTATCTGCTCGTGGACGGTTTTCTGTCTCTTTTCTCTATAACATCAAATGTTTACCTGTCCTACACTCGAACCGTCAAATATTACACCCGCGACACGATAGGCGACCCGTCCCATAAATGACGTCATTGCAACGTTTCGGAAACGTACGCCGTCGCCGCGGCCCTACCTGCACGCGTATTAATACCGTGTAATATTCTCGCGCATTATTCCGGCCAATCGATTTACACGGTAACAGTGGTATACGGTTTCGGTAATAATACTCTTAGTAACATTATATATATTATATTATACGAGCATAATAAAACGGGTCCGGGTCGTCGGATCCGCGGACAAACCGACCGCGACGTCGAGCACAACACGCCGAGATGATAAAAATAAAATAAAAACCGCCGTATATAGATGATACTGTCGCAGAGGTGATAATATAATAATAATATTTCATTATCACCGAGGCTTCGTCCGGCGTATAATACTCATACCTAATATTATACCTACACTACCTATACGGATTTCACGCATACACACACACACACACACACACACGCACACACACACACACGCACGCACACACACCACAACGGTTTATCGGTTCTTTTGTTCAACAAGGACGAGAGGAAGGGGCTTTAACGGCAGTTAAAAAGTTTTTAAAAAATATAAGTTTTGACTATATACGTACATTTATAAAAGAGCTCATAATATTATAACCGTTTATTCCGGGCGCAACGCTGACTAATAACCTCGCCAAATTTCGATTAAAATCGTTTTGTATTAATGGAAATGATTTGTCGGTGCTTTGGTATCCATTACCCATAAATTACCGTGTGTATCCCATACACGCCAAACTTGTTCCCACCTATAACAGTGGTCTATACACGGTTGCAAATAATTATGTCCAGATTTTTTTATTCCTTTTGAACTTTGTACGTCACGTTAAGTTAATAAATTTCGATTTTTAATAATATTATCACATGGTAATTATAAGGATTCTCCCGGAGAAAACACCAGAATACCTATAACATGACAATATCAATTTGAAGGAATTACAAAAAAATAATATAAAATTCACTGTGTTAATAATTATTAAACGTTTAAATCGTTGTTTTTTTTTTTTTTTATAGTGGTCTCATTAACTTACCTGACCTTTGTTATTCGATATTATTAAACGTTTTCTGTGAAGATTATTACGATTTTAATACATTTTAAAACCGGAAACATTTGAAATTGCTTTTTCGGCATCAGTTGTACATTAAATCGTTATATTATTTATAAGTGTTTATACTTTTGGTACCCTAGTCTTTAGTATTTTTTCGGTGTATAAAAAACCCAAAATCTTTTAAGGAACTATAATGGGGGGACTTGGGTGTGAGTGTAATGGACAAAAGTGAGTTTTTTTTAAGTTTTCCAAATCGTTTGACAAATATTCTTATAATAACCGGAAAAACTTCTATCCACCACTCGGTGCGTGCAACTGGTGCGTATATACTTGAAGTGTATTGGCTGCTCAAATCTTCTAGCAATTCCCTTCCCCTTCATTGGCTTTATTTACTCATTCAAGATTTCCGAAGTACGAATAATACGCGTGGATAGTTTCGAATTCATCGGGGATTTTTTTTTCTTATATATATATATATACATACAAAATATTTGTGAGTTTCCGCCTTCTTGTATAGTACCTAATAATTGAAATTTGAATTAAATTTTTTAAACTTGACGTTTTTAACTATACGATAGTGTAGAGGTATTAAAACTTTTTTCCTCCCCGTACCGCTCATGTGTATTGTGGATCCGTTAAGTACGACTCACGTTTTAAAATTGAACTATTCAATACGTCAATAAATTTACTTCAAAACACATGGCACTAAAACACTACGACATAGTAATATGTAAAGAGTATTTTTTAATTTTTAAACGAAATATATAAAACGGTGTTTGATCCGTTAAAAACATTAGTCCGAATAAGTGTTTAGGTTTTTATTTTCCTTACTAACATCACGCGGCTTTTTGCGTGCTACCACGTTGCCTATATCGCGTACCATAGCTTAAGAACCGCTGCGATTATGTAAATTAAAGATATAGGTTTATTAAAATGTCGATTTTCAATAATATACCAAGTTGAATACAAACAGTTTAGTAAATTATACGAAACACGACAAATTTAAATTTAAAAAAAACATTAAAATGCATTTTATCGTACTCCCCGAAAATTCGCATCTTTTTAAAATTCTAACTGTTCCAACGGCGGGGAAAAATATTAAAAACACCGCCGCATCGTTGTCGAAATGGTCGTCAGTGTGGATGAATGTGGGAGTAGATCGCTAATTCCCCTCTATACTACTGTTTATAACCTACTCGATTTGTAATGTAAATTTCAAAAACAAACGAATTGTATGCCACTGATTTTCAACAATTCCCCCCTTCCCCCAACATAAATATTCCAGTGCTTGACACATAATTGTTATCAATATAGTATTTTTGTCCGCTCGTTTCTCTCCGTCTGGTGGTCACGAAGTTATCGCGTTAATATTACTGTATTTCTTTTTCTTTTCATTTTTCTTTTAAACGCGGTCTACGGTAATATTATATACTAGAAAAAAAAAATTATCAAGCGAAAAAACGTTTATGATCCAGTAATTCTGACAACAGTCGTATACTTTTAGCGATAAGTTATATCACCGATAATATAATAATATTATACAAGTATCCGAAACGGTCGAGTACGATTAAAATTAATTATTATTCGTCGTCGTGATGATAATAATCATTATCGCAACAATTATTGTTCCGTTAGTACCCAAGCCTATCGAAGCCAGCGAAAGTCTGTACCCATAATACAAAGTGATTTTTTTTTTTTTCTGATTTATTGCTATTCGGCGATTGTCTATACGGAAATCACGGGAATAAAATATTAACGATATTATAGTTTTATTACGGAATCGTTTACGAATCCTCCGGCTCCAGAGGCGGATCCAGGAGGAGCGAAATGGACGATTGTTCCTCCCCCCCTCCGAGATGCGTATGTATGGTAATATAAAATACTCTCAGCGCGGTTTTCGTCATAAATGTGTGCCTTATACACACGCATTTTCAAAATCCACACAGTCCGGCCGTTTCCGGCTTGAACAAATTTCGATACGCGTAACACCGTGTTATATTGTATAATAATATGGATGGTGTACCGTTTATATGAGCTGGCATAAACGGCGGCGCTCATAAACGGTAAATCCAATCCAATATTGCAGCGTTAGGTATGTCGACGAGGTTAATGAAATATTTTTTTTTTCCAATGTTTGCCGAAAAAGGGCTGTTTGCAGCGGCGTTTTTACAATTTTGTCCGAGTGACAGATATAAAAACTCGTATACACAGACCCGCAGGGAACCGGGCCCTCTGCCCGCGGTATGTATGTATTAGTGTATCACAATTAATGTACACACCCGAGTACCCGACTCGCATTTAATACCGTTTTTCTATTCATATCAACAAAATATAGGTAACGATTTAAGTATTATAACTATAAGACAAAATATATGTACATTGAACATTTTATGAAAAATTTTACCCGGGCGAGAGTGTATTTCATACTATTTTCATAGAATAATATTACGGAATATACGTATTTTTTAAAAAGTGTTTTTTTTCTTATAAATTCAACTAAATTTAACTATCAGATACCTATACTTTGTTACATTAATATGCATGCATAAACATGGAAGTGTTGTAAGTGGATGTACCAATACCCAGATGTGTCTCCGTAAGACCGTAAACACGCCACTGGGTGGTTGAATTTAAGTCGATGTGCGTGCACGTGAACGGGCGGAATAAGGTTAATATTTTGAAAGAATTTTCAATTCTGGATTGAGAAAAAGAAATTCGAGAATTTCACTCGACATTTTTGCGCGTACACGATCGCTGATGGATAGAAGACAAGACGGCCGATAAGCCGAAAAAAAAAAAAAACCCCGTAGGGTAACAGCGGTTATTGCCGCCCAACTAAGCCGGTTATTCCCATGTAAACCATTATAAATTGGTTCTCTAATGAATCGGTTAACGGTTCAACCAATAGGTATGCTTGTATACGGAATCAATATGTGTAAGCTGCGTGTATTGTTTGATCAACTCGGTTGTTATTTATTTTAAATTTCGATAAGAATCGGCGTCCATGTTGGATTTATTACCGCCCCACCATAATAGGTTTTATAGCCCGAGAGTTGTAAATAATATACGCATTATGAATGCAATTCGGAGGGGCGGTCGGGTGTGTTGAAGCTCCCCAGGCTCTAATAATTCAGCACCTCCAGTCCTACGGACCGAGAACAATCCTTCGTTTTTCAATTCACGATGTCCAACGATATTACGCGGATATATTTGTCTGTAAACTACATTGGTCTGTGTATCGCATAAAACAACGACAACGCATTATCAGTTGCCCAATAAAACCGTGTACCAAAACGATAGTGTCGTGCATTTTAATTTCCGGGCAACGCAATGCTATAGGCGTTGTTCTCGCGACGGCGGACAAGCGGGAAAAATAAAAAAAAAAAAAACCAAAATGTCGACGGCGAACGATAAACGACCGCGATACGGACGTCTGGACGGCGGCCGTTTTCGTCGACGACGCGCCATCGGTCACGGCGAAAACGCGCGACAGCGTAGCCAGCCGCTGTCCGATGTGCAGCCGCAGACGAATACTCGCGGCGATGGGCGTCGGCAAACACCGCGCGCTCTCCCCGTGCGTCCTACTGCGCGAAAATTTAACAATTTGATTTGATGCGAATTTGATTTCTCCCCCCCCCAACCGTAATCCGTTCCGATCCCCCGCGAGTTTACGGCGTTGACGTTGGCGCGCGCACTGCGAAGTCGCTGACCCCGTCACCTACCCGACGAACAGCTTAACGGCCGTCGTCGCGCAGGTGACAACATCGTTATCACTCGGGGATGACGACGTTATCACAGCACTGTACTCAACAGCGTCACGTCTAAGACCGTTACCGTCGGCGCTCGCGGTAACGGTCAGAGGCGGCGCGCAAACAACGAATATTATAATATGGGTTTGCGTCGGTAAAACGCGCACATTTTAGTACGGACCGCAGAGAGCCCCCGTATTATGATAATAACGGTTGTTGTTGTTGTTGTTGTTGTGAAACGTCGCGCGGCGCGCTAATCGCGGCGGACGCGTCCGATAAATAGTCGCGCGTACGGTATCCGTTTACAGACTTGCGGTAAAATTACTAATACGCGCCTAACAATCGCATATGTATATGCATGTGTATAAATATTATAACGGTCGACTTTTCGAAACTAACGTAACGCTTATAATATCATTATCGGCCGGAAACAGCGGGCGTCGGAAGGTGTCGGGAACAGCGGAAAAACAAACGGTTTACCAACACCAACCCTCTCCCCCCCCACCAGTCGCGGTTTTTTTTTGTTTTTTTAAATATCGTAAACGAACCTGTTGGTTTTTAATCGTATTGCGTTTCGTCAATAGCAACGAGTTTTCGGATTCGCGGCTCGTTTCACTAAACGGTCACAAAAAAGCCCATGACAATAAAGCACTTGGAGCAAATATTATTGGACCGAATGGCTGAACGGTTTCAATGTCTTCTGTCTAACGACCTGAAATTATTAAATATAATTTTTCTAACACGGCGCAAATCATTATCAAAAATGTATTTTGTTTAAATAAAATTATACGTATTATAAAAAAATAACTTTGGGTTAATAATTTGCGTAGCGTTAGAAAATTATATTTAATAAAATAAAGCTGTTAGAGAGGGAAAATGTTAACCCTTCTAACCTTTCTACCATTTGGTCCGATAATATTTGCTTGAAGTGGTTTTTTTTCAAGGATGATTTTTAGACGTCTTAAGTGCTTTTTTTGCGAATTTTATGCGTATAAGTTCCGGACCCTAGACTAATAACTAATAACTTATTATTGTTAAATATCAATATTACGATAGACGCAATAGAGGATCTGATGAGGATATCGTATGGTCGTGGTGAAAAATGTACCTGTGACATCTGAACAATTTAACTACATTAGGTTCTGCAGTAAAACTAATGTTTGCCCGAAGGCAAATGTCGAAGAGTGGACCATAAAGTACAGTATATCATACAACGTCTAAGTTATAGGTAGGTAGGTAACTGCCGTACTACCCAAGAAGGGCTTCATAGCAATTTCCTTGATTTTCTTCAAGAAGTTTCATCGAAACTTCATTAACAAAATTGTGTCGGTATTATTAACTGAAAATAATAGTATTTTCCATTGTCATTACAACCTGCAGTTAGTATATGTTAGAATATAAACACTATAAACGGCAATTATATTCGCGTCGCGTATGTGCGTTCGGTTTAATTAAAAATTATTATTATTCATGCGTTCATCGCTCGTGTTTATTTCGAACCGACTAGTAACCGAACATCAGTAAACTCTCTTATCAACTCGAAATTGACGGTTGCAAAATCGCTAAACTGTTTACTAGAAAAAAATAACCTGTAGTTAACTGCATTAACTCGTAAAAACGTCATTTAATCAAAAGCGTCCACAGGGGGGGGGGGCAAATTGAATCATTACCCCCCTGGGATTTTCTGCTGTATATACTTTTATCACGCAAAATGGCAAATCATTTTACCATAAAAACATAAAATATTTCTGAAATAAAACGTTTTCCCCGTTTTTCCCTGTGTGGGATTTTATCCTGCGGGTGCGCTTGTCATCAGTATACACCGCTAATAAACGGTTACAACGCCAAGACACGTCTAGTATTGTTGAAATGTTACTTCTTTATCCGAAAGTAATACATATATTGGAATTGTTTATTTTCAAACGTATATTATAATAATGAATAGGAACATTAAAAATATTTGCACTCTTCAGAACATATTAGTTATTTCAGTTTAATCTTCAAACGTTTCACACGAGTGTTTAACACACTTCGCATTCTTGCCTACACTCGTATAGCGAATGATCAACGATGTTTTGTCGATGCAGCTTTTAACCTCTGATAATGCGGTTACTATAATATTATAGTTAATGTAGTTTAGCGAACAAATCGTTTTTGCGGCGATGTATTTTCGTTTATTCACCACAATCGTTTTCGACAACTGAATGCACTTTTAGAATCGCACAGCCAACAATATTAAAAACCTTTTCAGTTACTGGTTATACGTCAATAAAAATAATAATATAACATAATATAGTAAACGAAACGTTTAGGTGACATTACAGTCGCGAATAGTAATCAATACAGCAAACTGTTCGACTACCGAAAACTGTATACCCTGTCACAACACGCCTGTTACTATTATAATATTAATTTTCCGAGTGGTTTTTTTCGTCGGACACTTTTTGGATTCCGAGTGATTGTCGAAGAATATTACTAAAGTTTTTTTTTTTTTTACGCAGCCGTATTTTAAGAGAATTATGTCACCTACCCACTCGTATTGTCTCTGTCATACCAACACGCCACAGAATATCACAATAATTACGTTACTTAGAAATTAAATCATGGAGTTTAGATTGACATTCAAGTTTAGTTTTACATAACAAAATTTAAAAAGGAGAATATTTTCGAAGGTTGTACCAAGCTTTTTTCTAAAAAAAAAAATAATACAAAAAAACTATAGTCCTGTTAGTTTTATTTTTATTTGTTTTAAATAGTTTTAAATATTTTATATTATAACCTTCGAAAATATTCTCCTTTTTTAATTTTATTATTTGTATTTATACTCCAGTAAATACGGGTGTAGCGTACTCTTAAACATATGGATTTTTCACTTGGTACATTACTTGAAACATTTTTTTTGTTTCTCAAAAGTTTTCAACCCCTATAAAAGATAGTTTTATTTTCATGTAAAACACATTTTCTGTTTGTAAAAACCTTCTAAATCGTTCAAGCCGTAATAGATGAATATTTTCCGCACGACGCAGTGGTATTTATAATATATTTTAAAAAGACGGAAATGCTTTGCACGATGGGTGCACCACTGTTGTGGGTGAGAAGTTGGAAATAGGATATAGAGAGAAATTTAATTTATATCTGTACGCAATGATAAATCATTGCTAACGAAAAACGATTATGAGCAAAGTTTCTTTTATACACGTACGTACATTTTTTTTCCCCAATTATTATGGAAATCGAAAAATGACCGCCTTATAGTATCAACAAGATAAAATTTCCTTTCAAAAAAGGTGTTACGCTACATCGGATTGAGATTTCTAGAATAATTTTTGTACACAGCTAGTATATGTACGCATAAAATAATTAATAATAACAAACATCATTGTAAAACCAAAATATTCCTCGCTACGCACCATCGTCTACAAAATAAGGTTAATCGTAACTGTTGTGTGTAACCTTACACCTGCAACGCGTCGAGCTCCATTCGGTATAGTTTTTCGATCGCCGTGGTTATATTAATTAAATGTTCCTATACCCTATACTTTTTTTTCGATTTCCCATCAAAGACCAATGTTATATCCACGGAGTAAGTGCAGTTCAGAGTTATCACACCGACGATACGTACGTGGGAAACGCACCGTAAAGCTCCGCTTGGACGGTAACATGTTTGAAATTGCGTTTCATCGATTCAGACGGTAATTCAGCCGGCACGAACCGATGCGTCCGATGCGAAACGCTCCGTTCCAACGACGGTGCGTGGCACACCGAGTGCGCGTTTTCTGTACGCACTTTCGTCATCCGTTTCAGAAAAATTTGTTATAGACGCTATCGAAGGTTTTCACAGTCACTCCGTAGGCAGGCGCATACTCATTGCAGACGGGGTAAACCCGTCGCGTACCCAGACAGTTTTTTTTTTTTTTTTTTTTAAAAAATATATTAAATTCCGAATTCTCGAACGATAACGTATTTCGAAATTAATTCATTATCGCGCGACGGATCGACGTGTATACATATATATATATATATATATATACCTATGCATTATAATATATATATAAGACGGCTTAAGGCTTATGGGCTTTGCAGAGTACTGCCGGGCTCTGCGTTAAAATCGTCTCCTGCGATACATAAACGCGCGGAGCGGCCTTTTAATCTAATATTTACGGGTACGACGATATTATTATAATGAAAAAATATCACGGTATAAAAACGCGCAACGAGACCCGGGGAAAGGCGGAACACCTAATCGATCCCCCGTGATATTGTAGCGATAGCGTCGGTGTGTCTGCGGACGGTTTTGCAGGATTTACTAATAATATGTACGGCGACGACGACGGCGATGAAGATGTGCGCGCGCTTTTCGTCCCGTCCAATGACGTCCGGCAACAAGTTCGAGAAAAATCGCACACTACATGTATTATGATCGGTAAAACGTTCGACATTATTTAAATTCGGCCAAAATCATTATTATCAGTGCTCGGAAGTTATGAGAGTGGCATATTTTTCTGTACGCACTGAATTTATGGCAGACTAAGCTGAAAATGCATTCTGTACGACGGAGAGTTTAAATGTTGAACATATAAAACGAATATTTTGCGTGTTTCGTTAATTTTAGAGAAAAAGTGCATATTTCGTCGATTTTCATTGATTTTCGCATATTTTTATGCATATTTAATATTTTCTAGGAATATCGATTTTTTTTTTCTTTATTAACTAATTTTTTTTTAAATAATATTAAATTTAAAACTCAATATTATTTAACGTAATTATTGATTATTATTTTTCACCGTCTCAGTCTATTACTAATTTAACTACAACAGTGCGATTCGTATTTAATCTTTATCTTAGTTTTGCATATTAATAATGACATCGTCATACGTTATTGCACGATAAACCAAATAATTGTTCGCACGTTTTCTAACTTTTCCGTGCCCATTTGCATGCACGGTTTTCGTGTTTTATAGTTGCTATAACTTCTGAACCCCATAAATGTTATTATTAAAATTTCATTCCCCGTTTCGTCGCGGGCCGTCGTCGAGCCGTCGTACCGATGGCGATCGCTGCCCGTTAAATTGATACAATTACAATTGTATCAATATTGTGACCGTGCGACGCTAATAATATCCGTGGGTCGTGAAAAAAAAAAGAAATAAAATAAATCACCCCCTCGCGACGTTTTACAATACAGAATCGGAATAAATGATTATACACCCGAGACAAACGGCACCGACCGACAACCGTGCGTTGTCATAACGAGCGCGACTGGAATACACGCGAGATTGAACTCCGCGTGTTAAAAACCGATAAACCGGAAATGTTATTTACGCGTAAGCGGACCGCATCGTCGCGTCGCACCGTGTGGCGGCCCCGCGGACAACGCCGTGCGCCGCGTCGATGCCCTCGCGCGCCGCCGTGTCCGTCTTACGGTAACACAGTACGACACGGCGGATCTGCGACCGGCCGGCACGATTTCGCGCCGTCGCAGGCGCGTTCGCGAAATAATATTTCGAAGGATCGGGTAGGGGAGGAGGTGAGGGGTTTAAGGTGGCCGTACGCTTCCGTACGCTTGTGGCGAAAAAAATGTACACACTATCAATTTCACAGGATTAGAGGCATTTATTTTTCGTTAAAAATTTTTAATATTTCATAACATTCGTTTTCGGTCTTTTGTTGGTGGCCCGCGTTTCGCGTTTAACACTCGGCCCGCACGATAACATAGTTCATATTGTTGTGACGGTTATGCGGAAATAACAATATACCGGGGCCGTTGATCTATTTCACTGTAATACGGCATTTATACTGCTGACTAAGCATCTCTATCAACTGAACTCCGCTCAGAATCGTTTTTTTGTAAGCAATAGTTTATCGTTGCTTTCATATGTACATCAAATTCCCATCTGTATCCTACCTTGCCAACTACACACTTACATCAGTGGTTGCACCCGTCCCTATTATCTTTTCTTTCTTTTTATATTGTGATATTCCGTAGAACCTACATTTGGTTAGGATAATGTTCTTAAGTTTGATAAGACGTCCCGTTTACCCCAGAGTCAGGAACTATTTTTCTTTTTTATGAGGCGGACAAAAATATAGATGGTGAAACTACACACAGTTACGCCATTTATATTTCCTGAGACCCATCTTTTCTCCCCACAATATGTACGTAGGGTTCACTTCCCCTATCTGTATTATTATAATTTTTTACACTTACATCAATTCTCGAAATGGAAAATATATAAAACTATAACATGCAACTTTTGTTTTTTTTTTTTTTTTGAAATATTTATATTATAACGCATATAACATGTTTATATGATTTGTAGACAGCAATGGTAAACTTTTTTCTTTGTGAAAATGCGAACTGGATAGCATTGCGTATATTTCGAGCAATGGCTTGAGAATATTTTTGGATACAAACATAACTTGAAAGTTGAAAGTAAAAACAAAATTTAATTAGAATTATAATCAATTTCGACTGTTAAGCCATAATAACATTTATCTTGTAAAATAACGAAATGGTATTAACTTGAAATCAAGTTTTAAATTAAATATTTTTATTCGTAAAGGATCAATATCAATAATATTAATGGAAATTGAGTTTAAATATTTGTTTTCGTTATTCGTAAAGTTTTAACTTTATTTTATAGAAGGTAGAGTAAAATTATATTTGTCCCCCTATGCTTTAGAAGTAGATAACCGTTTCCTCCGCCTCTCTGTTACGGTGCCACTGGTTCACTCTAACAATATTCAAATCAACATCACAAAACCGTTGCCAAACATCTTGTTGGAATATTTCTTCTTTTTCGCTTGTTTAGATTAATTTGAAAAAAAAGTTGATTTTTTTTTTCTTTCCTTAGTCGCTGTCCTGGTTTCTATATACTCCGTTTTTAAACCAGTGTGGTCTGATTTTTCAATTTTTCTACCAGTCATACGATCGTGAAAGCAAACACCGCACACATATCGTGCATGCGTGATATTCGCTAGTTATTATCGCCAGTATGAGACTGTTACAGTAATTATCACTATTGCTCTATCGTTCTATTTTATTGCCATGCGATGGCATTTCACAAACGTTATTTCTATTGAAATTCACTCGATTATCGTTTCTTCTACTGTATCACTCAACTACATAACCGTAAGTCATTGTGATGTTATAGTTACTGTCACGATAATTAAAATATCGACTATCACTGTAATAACTATCATTTTGATGTAGATCGGGTTTTTCTTTACATTGTGATCGAAAACGCCATTTCCGTTTCGTGAATCGTTTTAAAAATTCGTCAATACCGTACGGCCAGCTCATTATAATGTAAATAAAAATCGTATACTCTCACCCGAATTTTTTGAAAAAAAAAAAAAAAAAATGTTGTTTCGCACTTGACACGAAAGTCCGATGTGATCATCACGAATGAAATAAATAAAATGGAACGTTCGTCTCCACGGTGTTTATTTTATCAAGAGGGTCGCCGCCGTTAAATCTCGTCGCCAATCACGAAAAAATACTGTTTTCGCGGTCCTCCGGTTAAAAGGGTCCTCGAAATTGTCTAATGTTATTCTATGGTTTTTTTTTTTTTTTTGTATCCCGAGCCACTACAGGAGGTACTAGGTGACGCCACAGATCGCAGTTTGCCGTCGTTAATATTAAAAGTGTCAGTCT